AAATAAAGCAGAACACTAGCTAAAAGCTACATAAAGCAGAACACTAGTTGAAAGTTAAACACAGCAAAACACAAAAACAAGCAAATAGCTAGATTTATAAAAACCTTTAATAAAAAAGCAAAACAGTGGTGCAAAAGTAGTAGCCAAAAATAATAGCTTAAAGAAGCAAAAAGCTAGGTAAACTAAGCACAGTCTTGGCTAAAAACTAGCAAAGGGGCCAGCTGAAAGCTAGAAGTGGTCAAATGATAGCTAAAAAGTTGAGTAACTATACAATAATAAATAGCTGAAAAGCTAAAATGAGCAAAATTATAGCTACAATTACAAAGTAAAATATTACCTAAAATCTAAATGTAGCAATACATTAGCTAAAAGCTAAAATAAGCAAAAAGCTAGCTAAAAGCTAAAAATAGCTGATTAAAAGTTGAAAGTCTCAAAAGGCCAGCTAAAAGTCAAAGCTAACTAAAGGCTAAATAAGAGCTAAAAGTAGCAAAAGGTTATGTAAATGTAAACATAAACTGCCACATCAGAAGATGAAAACAAAGCAAATATGCTGAAGTAGATTTAAAAGAAAAAGTTTTGAAGGGATTAAAGAGATTAAAGTATTTCAACAGGAAAATAATTATTAAATAAAACTTAATAAAAATAAAATGTATCAAAGTTACAAAACCACAGTCTCAACATCTCTGTCCTGAACGAGCTGAAAGCTTTAATTTAAAATTGGCTAAAATACAGAAAACATACAAATTAAATATTAAACCAGAAATTATTGACATGCATTGTAAAAATGAATGGACTGCATGAAATGAGCAGCCTTTAATTCTCTGAAAAACATGCACGTATTTTGCATTCTGAATTAAAAATGTGTTTTTCTTCGTCAAAGGTTGAAACATGCGTTAGCTCACCTCTCTGAGCTTATATGTGACCCAGTTTTTAATCTTGGCAGCTTTTTCCTCAATAATTTTGCCCTCCTGGGCTCTGACTGAGATCTGCAGCAGAAGAAGAGAAGGCTGTATGGAATACAACGTGCACATAAATGGGCGTTTCTCTTTCTTGTCTGGTTTTTCCTTCCGTACCTGCTGTTCCAGCTGCATCTCTAATCTCTTTATGACAGCATCTTTTTCTTGAACCTGACCGCTCAGGTCTTGAAATTGTTTGTACAGCGAGCTCTCCGACTCGCTGATTTGTACGTTTGTGTACTTGAGCTTTTCTTCCATGACATGAATCTGAAATGCACAATAGAAGAAGTGAAGCTTGAATCTGCACGAGTTAATAAGTTCACACTGGCTTCACAAAAAGCAAGAAAGAACAGCGGGACACCAGCGTGCCCTGTCACATTTAGATAGTAAAGGTTTGTAGTTTCCAAGATGGTTTTAAGTAAATCTGAATGTTTTTGGTGCAATACGGATCCTGGCCAGTAGAGGGAGCACTTTTTTAAATCAGGCGCAATGGCAGAGCCAAGGGGTGACCAACGGTGGCCTTGGCCAACATTAATTAATCTTCAGCTACTCCAAAGGCCACCCCAACCATCTGAGGAAACTACGGATATATATTTCTATCAGGCTATATATTATTTTACTGAAATGTGCGATTATTTGTATTAAAGTTTTTTATAGCATCATATAATTTAATGTTAAGAGAAGAATCAGAATCAGAATAAGCTTTATTTTCATTGCACAGAGATACAACGAGAACATGTACGTACAGCCGTCCAAAAGATGAACGGAGTGCACGAAGCTGCTGCTATGAAGCGCGACCTTCTTATTCTTATTCAGAATACTTTTTTTAAATAAAAAAGGGACAAAGCCATGAGGAGAGGTAGTGGCATTACAAAAAAGATCTCTCCACACCTTGTCCTTACAGGGCAAGATTCAAGACATCAAAAAACTCTGCCAGCTAAAGCACATTTATGAACATGTAACATGTGCATTTACAACGAGGCGGTCCATGAAGCACTAGATAGTCCATTGTCCTGATAAGATGATGGCCAGCTGGCACAGTTCTAGTAAGACTCTACAGAGGGGGGGTTACGGTCGACAAAGCTTTTCCTTAGTTTACACATTTCCCAGGAGAAATTGATAAGCCGGCCAGTTCCGAGGCCAACCGGGGAGTCCGATTCAGATCACCACAGTCGTTGATTTATTCAGGCAGACTATTTTCCGTCAGCCTCGAGTCTGTGCTGATACTTCCAAGGTCCGAAACGTCCAGATTAGGGTGCATTCCACTGGTCCGTGCTTACGAGCCTCTTCAAGATGTTTTTTTTTCAGGCTGACGAGTCCCAAAGCCGCAGGTGGCCCAAGATTCAAATCACTTCCAACTTACGGTTTCGCTCGTAAATCAGCTGATTTTGAGTCCTCCAGCACCAACCAGACCTTCACAGCAGCTTGTCGAGGTCCAAACCAGCTGCAGCCGTCTTCTTTGTATGTTGAGAAACCAGGATCCAGACTATTCCAAAAACAGGAAACCTGTTAATTATCGGCAATTTCAGCATTTTGGGTCGACAGCAGAGGTAGACACATCCCCCCAGAGATACATCCAGCTGCACGTCTCATCCGAGCAGATGAGGGTTCTCCAGGACCATATCGCTTTGTTGAAAGAATTTGTAATATATATCGAAAGTCCAATTGGTCAGATCCAAAACAGAAGTTTCCATTTCGGGAGATATGTAAAAAATAGGAGCTGCTCCGATACACAGACAGAGAGTAAAAAACCAGGAGGAAAACGGGGAGCGGGAAGGAACGCATGCGCCTCGCTAGAGAGCTAGTGAAGAAAACAATAGACGGACCTTTGTTCCCATTTCGATTTCCAGTGAGAAGAACTTCTCAGCTACACGCCTGCACTCACAACAGACAAACAGCATCATTTGCACACACAAGAGTTTAAGCTTTGCTGCTGAGAGCTGGTCACATGATGGACTGGAGGAATTTACCATAAGCTGTGATGATGTCATTTCTGGAGGTGTGGCCAAGCTCAGAAGAAAACTGTCTTAATTTGAAGAGATCGGGTCCATTTTGTGAGACGCTGCCTGGTGGTGTCCCAGAAATGGACCAGCGCTGTATTCAGTTTGGTACTTTATGTGTGTGTGTAAAATAAACCTTCAGAGAAGAACTTCGATCACTTCTCCGGAGCCTGCTCTCATGTTCATCATGTTCTACACTACTTTCAAACAATATAAAAACTAGAAAGCATAGTTTACTCAAATGATTGGGGTAGACGGTTCACGTATGTGTATATAACGTGGTAGCCATCTTGGATTTTGACTTGGCAACTCAATGTTCGAAAAGAACCTCACTTAGATGTAGCCACACACTAAAACTGAAGTCGGAACCTGAACGATTGTTCAAGTTATCGTGCTCACAACATGCACACATGGATGGACAGTATTTCCCATTCCCTTTCTTCACTCCACGTGGAGGAACAAAACCACAGGTCTTACCAGCTCTGCTCAGAGAACATGCAGTGCCCTCAGGTGTTTTTAAAGAAATGCGTTATTCATCCGCTGATTATAGAACACACCCGGGACAACCAGAAAAGACTGCAAATTATTGATTAAACTTGAAATCAAATAAGATCAAACTGCACAATACGAAGTTTCTAATCCTCAATTCTTTTTTATTTTATTTTATAGATTCTTTATTCATCACTTGGAGTTGGGAATGTCTGTTGATTTATGACAGTGCAGTTTAACAACAATATTAATTAAACAAGATGAACTTCCTACTTGTTTTAATACGAATACTTTATTCTCATCTCATTTGCTGATATTTCACACAACAAGCCGGAATGTTAAAGCTAACAAGATGTTAAAGGTACAGTTAGCAAAACAGTAGCCAAAATTGGCAAACATTACCAAAATGTGAAACAAGCTAAAAAATAGTAGCTAAAAACTAGGACTGGCAAAACAGTAGCTAAAAGCTAAAAAGAGTAAAATAGCAGCATAAAGCTGAAACTATTGGAATATTATGGGACTGTGTCTGTTGACCTTTTTAAACCACTTGATTCTGCAAACCACAAGAAGTTAATCATCAGCCTATCTCAAGCTAAAATAAAAAAAAAACATTTAGGTTATTCGAAGGAAAGACCGGCATGTTTTAGAAACTACATCTGATCATCAAAGTCCAATCCTGTATACCTGGATTATTGAGCATGGACTTTTTTTTGGTTTTGAACCAGTTTGACATGACTGTCGATGAGGAAGAGGGCCGGCACAAGAGGAGGGGGCCAAAGACACCATCTTAGCACCAACAGAACTGGTTTGTTCCACTTTGGAGTAAGCTGTTGGTGGAGAAGCAGTTTTGTGTTGTGTGTTTCCTTGACTGATGAAGCCTTCTGGATGGAAGGTGAAACGTTTCAGCAAAAAAAGAAACTGTCCAGATGACCTGACTGAAAATTGTTGAATAATCTTGTTTTTTTTTCTGTGGTCAGAAGAAAGAAATGTTCCTTTCTACCTGTTTCTCTGCTTTCTCAGCTCTCTGGTTGGCCTCCGTCACCCTCTGCTCCAGTTCCTGCATCTAGAACAGAGAAAAGACCAGTTAAACTCAAATCCAACATAAATCAGACGTCTTTTTGTCCTGCTGCGTGGGTTTGAATTAAGAAGAATCAGCACCGTTTCTGTTCGAAGGAATTGGAAACAATGTAGAAAATATTCTCCCTTATAGCACTTACTCAAAAAGAACCACACTCGACAGCAGGAGAACATTTTTAACTGGTATTTACTTACAAGGTCAGATTTTCAGGACTGGTTACATAAATATACAGAAAGTACACACGTGAAGACAAGTCACAAGAACCTGCCCCGAGCCGCCTTCTCTGCTTGTTTTATAACCTTATCAGTTCAGCCGAGCTCACAGCACCGTGAGGTGTCCTTGGAGCGACAGCTGCAGCCTCACCCAGCTCCTCATCCAGCTTTCTCTGTTAACCCAAACATATGATTCATGGGCAGATTCTCAGCCACATCAATAAAAACAACCATAACCTTTGACCAAAAACTCCCTGACACCATTACCATGGCTTTAGTTATATTACAACATAGTTTTCCCATTAAGTGAGTAATTATCTGTATGCTAATGGGAATTTGCACCTCCAGCAGCCAGCACTGGACCGTCCTTTCTCTGCTGCACTGTGATACTTTATCTTGGATTCCCGCCGCACACATGTGAACCTAAAGCGGCCCAAAAGAAGCAGCACATTTAAAGACATGCCACGACTGGGTTAGCTACAACTTCCAGTGTCTGCAGTGAACACCTTCTTCTTCTGAGACTCTACATCAGTGGTGCCCAAACAGTTCAAAGAGCATGCAGGACACAATATTGTTGATTGTTGTAACATAATTTTAGAACCCCCCCCCCCCCACACACACACACACACACACACACACACACATGACCTGTTTTGTTTTTTTTAAACAACAAGCGATAAATCTTTAAATTTGATCATTTCATTTTAGGCTGAGCTAGGTATAAAATATTTACCAATTTACAGTGGACAAAAATGTTAAAAATTATTGTTAATGGTCAAATAAGGTGGTATAGAAACAGATCCTGTCTAACCCTGAATGTTAGGAAACACCTTGTATCTGTGACTTTCCTTCCCTCCATTGATTATAGTGACATTATTTACATGAACGCTCCTACAAGAACCCTGCAGATGTTGGATGCTGCAGATGTTGGATGCTGCAGATGTTGGATGCTGCAGATGTTGGATGCTGTCTATCATGGTGCACTAAGATTCATAACTGGCTGTGATTATCATACCCACCACTGCACCCAGTATGCACTGGTTAACTGGTCACCATTAACTTCACACAGACTCTCTCACTGGTTCATCTTCATCTTTAAATCACTTCCTGGTCTGCTGCCTTCATACATCTCCTCCTACATGTCTCTGTGTGAGTGCAGCTACAGCGTGCGCTCTCAGGACATCATTACCTGCAGTGTTCCCTCAGTGAGGACTGAACTAGACAAGAGGACCTTCTCCTGCTCCGCTCCTGTTTCCTGGAATATCTCGTAAAAAGATCTGAAGCTCTCGACCTTTGACCTCTCTAAGTGGCTTTACGAACCCGTTGGACTCCTGGCAGGGACCAATGCAGACATGTTCCTGTTTTTAGTTTCTACATTCACTTTATAATCTAGTTGTTTTTGTTTCGTTTTATTTACTTTCTGCTATTTACTTTTTTATTTTAAATGTTTTTATGATTGTCTACTGTTGTCTGGACCTCCTCTGTGTTCTTTGTTTAAATCAGGTGTCTCTTGTAAATGAGTCCTGAGGCTCAATGAGACTAACCTGTAGAAATAAAGGTTGAATGAAAACAAAAGAGCCAAATGAGGCTTCTCTCTCTCGTTCATATCTCTGACACTGGATCCAAACCATGTCCAGACAGTTTTTTATGTCTTTCCATACTAAAGTGGGCCAATGCATAAAACACTCCTAACTTGGCAAGAGACGAGATGAAGAGCATGAAGCAGTCTTTCCACATGACAGAATGATAGTCTCTACCCAATACCATCACACACACACACACACACACACACACACACACACACACACACACACACAATAAAAAATACAGATCTGAAAAATAACCCTTGCTGTATGGATGTGTGTGTTTGTAAGAGAACAAATATAAAAGGTAACTAATCTAACTTGTACTCTGTACTGATCAATAAAAAGGATCATTTGAAAATTATGAGCTCATTTTAGTTTTTTTGCCACATATAAATAAATCAAAATGCATGCCAGTAGAAATTTGTAAAATGGTTACACTAATTTATTTGAGCTGCTAAAGCAAATTTCTTGCTTTTCTTTGTTTTTTTCACTATCAACACCATAACTGCAAAAATCTCCTACGTGGTTATAATGTAATAATCTATAACAACAAGAAATAATAAAAAATAAGAAAACAAATCATGGAACAAACAGAGCACGTGTCACAGCACATCAAGGGCACAACAGTCTGTACAACACTGTAAGTACATATGCTGGATTCCACTTCAGCATCCGCCTTGACCACATGAATCACAAAGCACGTGTCAGGATTTTACCCAGAATGCACACAGACATGAGGAGTTCAAAAACAATCATTATAAAAGGATAATCAAAATGATAACATGGGAGCTAAACAGTTCAAACAAGCAGGACGTGGACGTCCCACCGTGCTGAGAGCTTTGAAAAGTGACTGTTTGTAGTAATGAACCTCCAGCCGTTTGTTCGTCCATACGTGCACGTTGTGAGCATAACATGCAAAACAAGTGAGGTACTGACCCATTTTGTTGTGTGGCTACATGTTGGCATAAAAAAAGTTCCTTTCAAAAATTGGACTGCCACATCAAAATCCAAGATGGCTGCCACCATACTTCCATTTTGGTGTGAGGCTTCACCTTCGTGTAACAGAGGTCCCCATCAAAAATTGGATGGATGGATGGATGGATGGATGGATGATTTTAAAATTTACTCTTTGGCAACTTGTTTTTTGCCCAAATTGATGAAAAACAAACATTTATGAGCGGCCACAGTAAATTCTAACAGTCCCACTGATTCATTGAGAAAGTAACGACTGTACGTGCAAAGTGTACTTAACAGACAAACGTCCATTAACACACACACATATGATTACATGGATGTCCTTGTTTCACAGTGCATGGAGATAAATATTGATTATGTGTGGTTTAAGGAATATTAAAATGGTTTCACCTTTTCTGCCAGCAGCTCTCGGATTTTCCCGGCCTGCAGGCGGAACCTGAGCAGCTGCATCTCAAGAGCGACGCAGCGTTTCTGCCAGTCCACGCTAGCTGCTCCTACGTCTCCGGCTCCGCTGCTGTCTAACACGTCGGCCATGGTGAGGATTCAGGGTGGCTCTGGGCTCCAGCTGGAACAAAAGACACAAATGAGCACCAGTTTTATGTGTGCTTGATCTGAGGGTTCTGGTAATGATGATTTACATAAAACTGCCACTCAGCACTGACTTTAAAGCCCTGAGCGAGAGGCACCACAGCCCTGGGACCATGTTTCCATGAGCAGTTCAGCTTCTGTTTTCATTTACAGCCAAGATGAAAAAAAGTGATTGAACATCTAAAATTCTTTTTTGCTGACTGCACTTCCCATGATTCACTGAGGAAGTGTGAGCAAAGCAAACCCCAATCATGAGTCAACAGTGACGTGATTTAATAAAAGCTTTTCTGGAGTTCTTGTTGCTCCGGCACAAACCAAAGTGAAACGTCCACACGTGGTGAGTGAACAGAAACAGACGACCACGGCCTCTCGGAGTCTCTTCATGCACCAGCTCTCCACATGCCCACACACACTGAACCAAGCCTCAGCAGGGAGGCTCTGTGAATGGGGGGGTCCGGAGGTCCCGGGCCACAAAGCAGGTCAGCGCTTTGCTTTTTAGCCCAATTACCTACTAACCCAATCCCCTTGCCCTCTGCCTCCTCCCAGTCCACGCAATCCTTTCTTAATTACAAGGAAGGAGTGAAACAGGATCCTGCACAGCACAATGGTGTCTTTCTGCATGAAGGTCCCTCTCAGCTACAGAGGGGAGCCGTCACTCTGCCTCGGCACAGAAAAGACCAAAGAATGTGTGACAATGAACGGACCCAGCGCCGAATGTGGGAAAGTGGTGCGTTCACGCTACTTTCACCTGAGGCGGACTGACAAAATGACAAGAAGTGGTGAGCTGTCAAAATGTAGCTAAGCAAGAGAAATCTGCATTCTCTGCAGAAATAACGTTGGCGAGTGCTGAAGGTCCGCTGGAGTTTGTTGAAGAAGCTGAAAATTAACCGTTAAACTTAAAATTAGCAGAACAGAATGAATACAAGCAGAAGCTAAAAGCTCAAATCATCAATACAATAGCTTTAAGCTAAAGTAAGCACACAGCAAGAAAAACTAGCTAAAAACTACTACAGTTACCAAAACCTTAGCTAAAAGCAAAACTTAGTAAAAATGTAGCTTACAGCACAAAATAGCAAAATAGTACTAAAAAAGCAAAACTACAGCTAAACACCAAAATTTGCAAAACCATGTATAGAAGCTAAAATTAGCAAAACTGTAGCAAAAGCTAAAATTATAAAATTGTCCTTAAAAGCAACATTAGTAAGACAGTAGCCAAAAGCTAAATGGAGCCAGACAACGCTGAACAACAGTAAATGTTAGAGGGCAATGTTTCTGAAGGAACTGAGAAAATTCAGCATAATTCTGTTTGTTTTGTAAATAAGATAAATTATTAAAATGTATAAAAGTTGCAAACAAAAAAAGTCACACAATGTCCAATCGATTTGAACATTTTCATATATAAATAGATAAAAAGCACAAAGTATGCAAAAGTAGTTTGATTTCAAGTAAGTGACTGAAGGAAGTGTAAACAGGACAAGAACAGTGTGAATGCTGACTCATCGTTCAACTTTCAGAGAAGCTTAAAATGACCTCGTTTTCAGAGCGGACTGAAGTGCAGCCAGACAGTGTCAGCAGAAAGGCAGACATTCAAAGTCCACCAAATGTAAGAGCACCGTGGCGCTCCCTACAATTAGCATGCTCATAAATACAGGCCTAGCAGGCTAATTACAGAAGTCATGCCTGCAGAGGTTTCACCAGGCAAACCACTGGACCCAGACTGGACAGTCACGATCCAGCTCCAACGTCTCCCTGTCTTTAAAAGGAAAACTGAAGGGTTTGTAGCTGAAGGAGAGGAGGGCTAAGTCAGACTGAAAAACCCTGTCTGGGTCACTTTGTTGCAGCCGAGGACAGGAGGCCTGGAGCTAAAACTGCAGCCGATAAAAAGAAGCTGTTTAAACACTCGTATAAAACGTTCCTGAACCATCGAACACTTGTTGGATACAAAGATGGTCAGGGAGGCAAAGGAGGAGTGTAAAACTGTGAAACAGCAAGATTACTATTAAAACGCTCACTATTAGACAAAATGAACGTTACAGAACAGTTGGAGCTTTCTGTAGCACTGGTGCCTGATTACTGGTGTGGTAGTAGCTGAGAGTCCTCTTCATGACGTCTTTGAGCGCTGTCACGTTTTGCACAGTCTCACAACATTCTGTGAGGTCATGCATCATCAACAAGGCTCGACTGAAACGGCTCGTCAGCATTTAAAACTGGCCTGAAAGGCGGTGGGCGATATGCATTCCTTCCAGGAAAGCTGGGCCTTTAATTCAAACTACGCATCAGCAAAGGGTTTGCAGAAGTTGCTAGATAAATTCCTGCATCTTCTTCCTATGGTGTCTGTCTGACATGTGCCAGTGCAGGAAACCAACAAGAGGTCAAAGAAGACACAAACACAGAGCTGAAGGCCAGAGCTGTGTCTGCACAGACATGACCGTTCTGCTGAAAACACAACCAGAGCAAACACATGAAGCGGCACCACAACAACCACAACAACCAGAGCAACCAAAACAACCAGAGCAACCAAAACAACCAGAACAACCACAACAACCAGAGCAACCACAACAACCAGAACAACCACAACAACCAGAGCAAACACATGAAGCGGCACCACAACAACCACAACAACCAGAGCAACCAAAAACAACCAGAGCAACCAGAACAACCAGAGCAACCACAACAACCAGAACAACCAGAGCAACCAGAGCAACCACAACAACCAGAACAACCACAACAACCAGAGCAACCAGAACAACCAGAGCAACCACAACAACCAGAACAACCACAACAACCAGAACAACCAGAGCAACCAGAGCAACCACAACAACCAGAACAACCAGAGCAAACACATGAAGCAGCACCAAAACAAACCACAAAAACCAGAGCAACCACAACAACCAGAACAACCACAACAACCAGAACAACCAGAGCAACCAAAACAACCAGAGCAACCACAACAACCAGAGAAACCACAACAACCAGAGAAACCACAACAACCAGAACAATCACAACAACCAGAGCAAACACATGAAGCGGCACCAAAACAAATCACAACAAACCACAACAACCAGAACAAACCACAACAACCAGAGCAACCACCACAACCAGAACAAACCACAACAACCAGAACAACCAGAGCACCAAAACAACCACAATAACCACAACAACCAGAACAACCAGAGCTATCACAACAACCACAACAACCAGAGCAACCACAACAATCACAACAACCAAAACAAACCACAACAACCAGAGCAACCACAAAAACCAGAACAACCCGCAACAACCAGAACAACCAGAGAAACCACAACAACCAGAGCAACCACAACAATCACAACAACCAAAACAAACCACAACAACCAGAACAACCAGAGAAACCACAACAACCACAGCGACCAGAGCAAACACATGAAGCAGCACCACAACAACTACAAAAACCAGAGCAACCACAACAACCACAACAACCAGAATAAGAACAAGCAGAATCGTTTCCACGCATCAACAGTTTTGTTGCAGCTCCAAGTAAGAAGTAAAATCCAACAGGAGCCTTTTTTTATTTTAAACTTTAAAGAATCACAGATCGATGTGAAATGGTTTCAGATGGGACAGTGTGATGTTTCTCGTTAGCTTCGTGACCTTCGTGACCTCGGCCACTCCTGGACTTATAAAAACGAGTGATGATGTGAGAACAAAGCGAGCACACATGCGCTCGCACAGCAGACCCTCCCTAATCACCATCACACACACACCCCACAACAAATCATAGCTCACACACACGGAGGCAGCTCAGAAAGTGATGTGAGGAGACAACACTACAGCTGTGATGGAAGCAACTCGCTGGTTCCATTCCCAGCAGACAGTTGAACTCTCTTGTTGGCTCCGCTCAGCTCCAGCTTGGCCTCTCTACAGTTTTGGAAAATGAAAATGACTCTCAGCAGACAGAAGAGGAGTGTTTGTTGAAATCTGGGTCAGTCGCTGCGGATTTGATTCAGCGTGAAGCTCTGTGGAGACGGACGACCTGGGAGGGGTGAGGCGTGTTAAATATGGCCTTTTCCTTCTCCTCTGTGGCCCCGTGTGTTCAACTAAAGGGACGTCTGTCGACTCCCGCTGACTCAAGAAGACCAACCAGTGGAGCTTCATCTAAACAAACAGCTTAGAGGCAGTGGGTGTCACAGGACGAACTCATTAAATGTTAAAAAATAACAAACGTTTCTTAAACGAATGCACACCGCCCTTCATCCTTCATGTCACAGATGATCTCATCATTCATGTCACAGATGAGCTCATCATTCATGTCACAGATGATCTCAGTTGGAATTAGAATACTCTCCCTGCGTCTGTCTGGGCATGTTGTGAGCACGATAACTTGAAAAATAAGTGAGGTACCAACTTCCATTTTCTTATGTGGCTGCATGTAGGAGTAAGAAAAGGTCACTATTACAAAGTGGGTTACCATGTCAAAATCCAAAATGGCCACCGCCATATAAACCAACTCTAATTAAACTGACCACCCCGATCATTGGAGGACATTATGCTTTCTAGTTTTTATATTGCTACAGTTTCCTCAAATGATTGGGGTGGCCTTTGAGGTGCCTAAAGATTAATTTACGGTGGCCAAGGCCACCATTGGCCACTCCCTGGCTCAGTCTATGTGCTGGGTGATGGACATGTTTGCTCCACTCAGTGGGATCTGTCACTCTGAGCTGCTACGAAAAGCATAAAATAATAAAATGTCTGTTCTTTAACAGTGTAACTCCTTCCTGCACCAAAAACATTAAGGTTTACTTACATTCCCAGTTCAGTTCCAGTCCAGAAAAACACTTGTCATGGAAACTACAAACACTCACTATTTAAATCTCTCAGTGATGGAGGATATCTGTGTTTTTTATTCTCTTGCATTGATCTTTTCAGTCTGACGTCTCTTTTACCATCACTCCCTGCAGGTTTCCCTCTCCTCCTGCAGCACCTTTCCCACCCTGCCTCCTTCTTCTCCCTCCCCCTCCTCTCCCCCTCCTCTCCCCCTCCACCCTCCACCAGGGGGAGCAGACCTGAGTGCAGGTTAATGACAGGCCTCGGAGGACTGACCACACTCATCATCAGTCTCAGACTTAAACACAGGTCCTGACATTCCTCCTCACTGAGCTGTAAACATCTACCTCTGCAACATCACACACACACACACACACACACACACACACAGTTTAAAATCTTGGCTTTCAGTAGCACTGCAGGGCATGGAGATAAGTTTTCAAATCTTTAATTGTTCAACCATAAGAAGAACAAGAACATAATTTGGCTGATCCATATGATTTACACCACCACCACCATTAAAGCTTCAGACTGATCATCTAATGTTGACAGAGCTGGACTTACATTAGACAAACCTTGAACAAAAAGTGCTCAGCACAATCTTCTGCAGTATGTCACACTCAGAGTATGTTTTGAGGATGACTCTTAGCTACTACCATGTCAACTGTTTGCTCAATATACCAAACCATTCCAAACCATTCCATACCATTCCAAACCATTCCAAACCATTCCATACCATTCCAAACCATTCCATACCAAACCTGCTTTATTTATAGAGCACTTTAAACACACACAGGACCTAATTTCTGTACACATAATAAAATAATCCATCCACCATCTTTACCTGCATCTTCCTTTGTGGGTCACTGGGGTCACTGGTGTCCATTTCCAGCAGTCACTGTGTGAGAGGCGGGGGACACCTGGACAGGTCTCCAGTCCAACACAGGGACACATAGAGACAAACAACCGTTCTCTCTCTCATGTAGGGACGATTTAGAGTCACCAGTCAGTCTAACATGCATGTTTCTGGTCTGTGGGAGGAAACTGGAGTACCTGGAAGAAAACCCACGCAGCACAGAGAGAACATGCAGACTGCACCATGAATGGACCAGGCTGGGATTCGAATCAGTAAGCTTCTCGCTGAGAGGTGGCAGCTCTAACAACTGAGCCACTGCACCACCATCACACAATCAGTGAAAAATAAAAAACAAAAGTTTGCAGTGGCGACCCCTGAGGAAGGGAGCAGCTGACAGAAGAAGAAAGAAGAAGAATCTCAGATGGTGTCAAAGGTCAGGGAGAAGACATGGTTTGAAGAAGAGATTTAAATCAGACAGGGAGGGGCTGATGTTCAAGCGAAGGTTGTTCCATAGTTCAGAAGGTGCGCTCACAGATATCTGTCAAAATGAGTTGTGTTGGCTAACGTCCGTTAGCTGGCGTGGCCATCATGCACGGTGATTCCAAAAGGTCATAGATGAACATCCAATGAGCAGGCCCCAACCATTAAAGCTAAAGTGTTAAAGAAAGATCTTGTGCAACGACAAGCACTTGAAGGTAAATGACTCAGCTACAGCCTCATCAAATTATCACAAATAAAAGTTCAGTCGTGTCATCTGGACAGCTTCTTTATGGAGAAACGTTTCTTCTTTCATCTGAAAGACTTCATGAGTCTGAGGCCTGCCACCAGGGTCCGTCTTATAAATATCACCTCCTCGATGCGTTTCAGCCAGCCGCCTGCTGAATTCTCAGAAACTGTCTTTACACTGCCAACAGGGAACATCTGTCTAAAACAACCCATCATCAGCACAACAATCAAATGTTTTGGGTCCGATGGCCACCAGCTTCTCCCAGAACCAGCCTGAGGACACCAAGATGTTCAGAACAATTCAACTCAGTCTGAAGAAAACTGGCTCAGCTCGACTCATGACGTTTGAGGTCCAACGTTAGTTGTGGCAGCCATCTTGGATTCGACCAGCTGAAGTCAACCAGATGTTCATCCACTGATTACAATTGTCCAGTGCTTCATGGGACGGTTTACCAGCAACACCATCGAGACACTGGCAGAACCCATGTTGTCCAGCAGAACATTCAATTACCACACACACACATTTAATTACCACACACACACATTTAATTA